GATCCGTGGTGGATCTGGCCGTAAAAGGCTATAACGACGCGTTATGACACAGATCCGACCGGTCTGTGTCGTAACGCGATTTTCTGGCCAGATTCCAACGGTGGTGGCTGGAATCTGGCACTGCAAGTGGTGGGGGTATTTTTGTCATTTTACATGTTGGGGGTATTTATTAAATTAGCAAACTTAGGGGGTTTTTTTATCAATTTTTAAATTTAATCTCGTAATACTCTCATATTCAATTATCCAATACTATCCCCAAAATCCTATCCAAAATAATAAACCAAACGCACCCATAGATGTTTATCTTTCCTATAGATTTTCTGATTATTTAAAAAAAAAAAAAAAATCTGGATTCCAATTATCGATAACCCGAGTTAAATCTTTTATGCAAAAAGCCTTGAGATAGGTATTTCAATTTGACCTTTAATTAAGTCTAGATATAATGAATCGGTAACATCACTTTGAATTGATATGAGTTCAATATCAATTCATGCAAAAGATGAACCCTTTATCATTCACATCAAAATGGGATTATGTAGTACCATCTTGAAAACGAACAACGTAACCAAACCAACCTATTTTGTCCCTTTGAAATTAACCCTAAATTATTTATACCCAATTTTATTTTTATTCCTTTTTAAAATTAAATTTAATGGTTACCCATATCATAATAAGTTGGCCCCATGAAAGGTGAAAATGATATAAAATAAACAAAGTCATGTCATGAAAGATCGTGATATTTGGCCACCAAATTAATATTTGATCCCATAACTTGTATGCTAGTGACTTAACTTATTCTTAAAGTAATTTTAATTTAACAATTTATCTAACTTAATTATTAAGTAATCTAACATTATCTTGTAGTCACCGTCACTTCCCATGAACAAACAAAATCATATAGAAAATGAAACCAATTACTTCCCCTCTATGCCACAATGAGAACATATTTATATATATACATAATTAATAGCTTTATCTGTCTCTCTTTCATATCTATCAAAATTTTGAGGGCAATTAGAGAAGAGATGTGTTTTGATTTAGGGTACAAAATCAAGAGAGGATCAAAGAATGCTAGAGTGAAGGAAAGCAAGGGAGAAGATGAAAGCAAAGGGTTGTTATATATAGAGATAGAGAAATGGAAGAAGCAACAAGAGATGTTTAATCAAGGAAGTAATGCTGCATCAACACTCTCAAATCATCATCTCTCCAATTCCAAAAGTTGATTCGATGATCATCGTTTAGTAGTCCTTTGATGTTATTGTTTGCACTGAATTGGTATGTCTTGATTTGAGTTTAATTATCGAGTATGTAGTTGAATGTTTATTTGAGAAAATCGTTCGATTTTAGTTGAATGTTTGCGAGGGAGATAAAAGAGCTCGGATTAATGTAAGTACATAGCTTAATTTAATTATTGATTGATATATTTGTGTGACTTGACTGATCAAACCAAAAACCCAGAAAGAACAAGAACAAATATGCTCTTAGTGTGTTTGTGAGTTTATATTTTGTCTGTTAATTTGCTTTAGAGTTTGTGTTTTCTCTTTGCTACTCAATCAATATCATACTTAATCTTTGGTTCCGGGTGAAGCTTTACATTTCTTGCATTCTGGGCTAAAAATAATTACTAAATTGTTTTTTTTTTTTTTAAATTCTATTAAAAGCACCCATACCTAAAAAAGCACTTTCTTTTGAGATTATTGGCTGATGATTGTCTTTAGGTGTTATGATTCTGATGATATTTTGAACCTTTTTTAAGTGTATCGTTTAGTGGAAATGAAGTTGATGGCCATTTGGGTTCTGATATTGAGCTTCTTCCTTTTGTCCAATCCAGTTTCTATTCAGGATTCAGGGCCCAATAGAAGCCCAAATATGGTTTGAACAAACAGTAATTACCACTTTAATATTTTCTTTATAAAATATATATCACAAATAAATTTTTTTTTGGTAAACACGATAATTGTATAAAAAAGAGAGACAATATTACACTTATAATCAAATTTTACAAATTTTCTCTCACAACCTCGACGTTGCAGCTTACAATTAGTTTCTGATGAATTTTTTTATCTTATGAAGTGCGAGTTGTCATGTCAAAGATTAGATTGTAAGTAATCTTATTGAGAAAAGAAATTCTCTTAAAAGAGCCTTGGACACTGGACAGGCCCAAGGATCAAACTAAACTAAACAAAGGCCAGAGACAATAGGATAAACAATCCTTTACAAGTAAGCCAAATAAAAAAAGAAGGCCCAGGCAACTAACCTAAAACCAGCTATACAGAAAATTCAAATTTCAAAAAAAAAAGAAAATTGAGAGAATCTGCTAGCCCAAAAGGCTAAACAAAACAATCCGGCCCAGACTACACAGTCCCAGGGTCTCCATGCACAAGCTAGTAACAGCTAGTCCAAGAAGGCACAACCCAAAGCAGACTGAAGTTCGCCCAATACTTCGTTCCAAATAAAACATTCCCAGAATCATGAAATAAAAAGGAGGATTCCCAAACTTACATTCTCCTTTCTCACAACATCAGTGCAAATATGCACTCTACTGCATTTACCAGTGTCAATAGACTGGATGAGGTTCTCCCAAGCTACCCAATGAATATGCTGCCAGATGCCAAAAAAAAAAAAAAAAAAAAAACCATCTAGAGCAGGCTAGCAGTTATACACCTTAAAACCAGCAGAAGCAGCCTCCCTATGGTGCAAGTGTTCACCAATAAAAAGCTGTCCATTTAAGCCTTTCTTCTACCTCGTCTGAAGGAACTTAACATAGCAAATGCACAATTTATCTCTAAAACAACAAGAGGTGCGAGATAGCATAATAGGAACCCCAAGCAGCCCCTTAAAGAAAGACCATCCAGAGAGGGACATATATAATAAAAAATTGATGTGGTAGTTTATGAATTAAGATTGCTATATCATTTAACTTTGACAGGAATTAAGCAATGTTAGAGTTGCCAAAATTTCTGGTTGGTCTATTATACTTTGTTATACGAGTCATATTATAATACTGAATTGATAACATTATTGGTTATTATAATACTGAATTGATAACGTTATTGGTTGAGCACAAATTTTAAACAAGATTCAAAGGTTTACTTAAAAAAATTAAAAACTACTATATTTTACCGACACTAATACTATAATCGTTAAATGATCTAAAATTTATATTTTAAAAAAGGAAAATAGTACTTTACAAAGTTGATAAACTATTATTATGAAATTATCATAACCTAATCCCCACATAGAGATTAAAAAAGAAAAACACTTATTTTGATAAGAATCAATGCAAAGGCCTTAGCTGGAATCCTCTTGGAGATGTAGACAAAAATCCTTCCAATAATTTCATCCTATGTGTGCACAAGGTTTGGTCACTTTATGGTTGAATTCTAGTGAAACTGAAGAAGAATGTAAATGGGTTGGCCCCAATATCTTTATTCTCCAGGGCTATATTGCACTTCATTTGGATATATAGCTATTATATTTTGTCAGGTTCCCAATTTATGGGAAAATGACAGTCATCCAAGATTCTGAAGGCTCCCACTACATAACTAAAATTAAAGACCTTCCACTCTAGAGTATAGTGCAAGACCCATTACCAATCCTGCAATTTGCACATGGGATGGCCACATAAAGGCAATCTTGTTGGCAAATGATCAATTCATTATTGCATTAATTTTATGGCATGGAATGTCTATATGTCAATTCAATAATTGGAATTAATTATTTAAGAGTGAATTAGTACATTAGCAAGTCACCTTTTTGGAAACTATCACAAATCATGTGATAAAGTAAATCCACACAAAAACAATTTTATATATTGGGTTCAGAATCCTCTTTTAATTTGAAGTATTTAGATGAATACATCGTTAGCGAAAAGTTTGGGATTCAGTTTAGAACACTTGAATCTTTTAACTAAACAATTATGTTTTGAATGAAGAACGTTTGTGTGAAACCCAAAAACATATCTGTATTGACTGCTAATTTGAGTATCGGATATTACATGTATAAACACTATTAGTAGTATAATTTATTTTATTTTTTTGGGTAATTAAGCTTTAAATAGAAAATGAAAATGAAAATGAATATACAAAGAGGCCTAGAAAGGTGACCAGTCTACCACATGACAAACTCTTAGGAGGATCAAAAACAAAAATTTAACCAAGACAAAAGAGCTACACAAGACTATCTTCGATGCATATCCTACCACAAGACAAACCGTAGGTTAGGACGAAAATAACAATCTATACAAGACTATCTCCAATGCATATCCTACCACAAGACAAACCGTGGGTTAGGACGAAAATAACAGTCTATACAAGACCATCTCCAAACCGTATACAAGATAACCATCACCAAGATAAAGCCAACCAACAAAAATTCACCCTTTAAAAATACACATTAGTAGTGTAATGTTGTTTATAATTGAAACAAAAATGTTATCAAAACCAACAGTATTAAGCAAACAAATCATATGGGAAAATCATTCCAAATGCTCTACTTTTCTTCTTTATTAAATGACATATATTTCAATTTATGTGTTAGAACAAGTGAGAGTGGAGACCGAACAGCAAGCACTAGCTGAAGAGTTTGTATCTGCCTTGCCTTAGAGCACCTCTGAAAGGAACATTTATTTGCTTCTCATTAGTCTATTCACAGATAGGTACAGGCTTTTTGCAAATATTTTTTGTCCTGGAATGCTCCACTAAGGCCTGGGATGCTCCACCAAGGTCAAGTCCTTCTCAACTTTAACCTAACAGCACTTATTCTTTCAATCTTAATAAATCAAGACCGACCTAATTGCTTCACAAGCAAATGGTTTTACAGAATCTGCCCTTGGTATAAAATAAGAGAATTAATAATTCCCTAGAAATTGGTATATCTTTTACTACTTAAAACTTGAAATCATAGTGATGTAAGAGTACAATCACCATCATGCAAATGCCCTTCTTATTTTAATGGACATGCAAATCTTTGAACGTGATGTAATTTTGTTGTCATAAAGCTCAGCCACTTGACTTAGCTTTTCTAGTTGCATATAAGATCATTTAAACTCTCCAAGCTCTTCAGCATCAAAAGTTGACAACGTTCTCATGGATAATTTAACGAACCCTGATATTCAAATCTTGAGAGAGCCTGAAAGTTTCAGCTTCAGCTCTTCGAGTTCCCCCAAACACTTCAAATCAATGGCCATGGATGCTTCTCCAGCCTCTGAAAACTCCAATGTCCAGGAAAACTCCAATGTCCAGGAAATTCTCGACTTGGAGGTGAACAACGACCACAATGAGAGAGCTCAATGGCTGCTTAATTCTCCAACGCCACCAGGGCCTTGGAATGAGCTTGTTCACTCAGTGAGAAAAAGTGTTTCATCTCAAAGAAACAAGTTCAAGAATGAGCCCGGATCAAAACATGTGGCTTCATTTCTGAAAGGAATATTTACTATTCTTTCCTGGTGCCGAAACTACAAGGCAACAAAATTTAAGAACGATTTAATGGCAGGATTAACTCTTGCAAGCCTCAGCATCCCTCAGGTAAAATCTTAGGAAATTTAAATAATACTAAAATTTATTTGCTCAATTTTAATGTGTGTTTCCTGTAGAGCATTGGATATGCAACCTTGGCGAAGCTTGATCCTCAATATGGCCTCTGTAAGTTCAAAATGAAGTTCGATTTATGTCAAAATAACGAAGAAAATTTTAATTTAATTTCCTCTATAAGAACTGTTTTTCGTTTGCTCTAGATACAAGTGCTGTCCCACCTTTAATTTATGCTGTAATGGGGACTTCAAGAGAAATAGCAATTGGACCTGTGGCGGTTGTGTCAATGCTTTTGTGTTCAATGATTCAGAAACTAGAAGATCCTCAGGCTAATCCAATTGAATACAGAAATTTAGTTCTGACTGCAACCTTTTTTGCGGGCACTTTTCAAGCTGCCTTTGGGCTGTTCAGGTGGGTCATTTTATTCTGCTTCTTGTTTAGTTATTGTTGTTTCAAGCCAATTATAAGAGTGGTAATTAATCAGTTTTTGTTGTTGGCTTTTCACTATTTGATTCCACAGGTTGGGTTTTCTTGTTGATATTTTGCCACATGCTGCTATTGTTGGGTTCGTGGCTGGTGCAGCCATTGTCATTGGTCTTCAACAACTTAAGGGACTACTTGGAATTACTTATTTTACAAACAAGACTGATGTTATCTCTGTTATGAAAGCTGTGTGGAAATCAGTTCATCATCCGGTAATAATGTTCCTCTCTTTCCATTGTTTTTCTTTTTGTCATAAAATTCTATCACATTTAAATATTAATTTTGTGTCATTATCTGATAACTTAAGCTTTCGAGTCGAATAATAATTTAACATATTATCAGAAGTAAAGGTTATAAGTACGAGTTACATGGCTTTGGCTCCTTTAATATGTTCATTTACCCTTTAATTTTTACTCATTTCAGTGGAATCCTGATAATTTTATCCTGGGTTGTTCATTCCTGAGCTTCATCTTAGTTACTAGATTCCTGGTAAGTACTATACATTGATATATGAAGCCACATTGTTCATTCTTCCTTTCACCGAATTAAGTCCGGTTAGTTTCAGAGAATTAATATCTCTAGAATTCTGATAAACTTATTGCTCATTCTGACAGGGAAGGAGGAACAAGAAACTCTTCTGGGTGCCAGCGATTGCGCCGCTAGTATCGGTTATTTTATCAACTCTCATTGTATTCCTGACAAGAGCTGATGAACATGGAGTTAAAATAGTGAAGCACATTGAAAAAGGCATAAATCCAAGTTCAGTGCACCAGTTACAGTTCAATGGCAAACATGTTGGAGAAGTGGCAAAAATTGGACTGATTGCTGCTGTTGTTGCACTCACTGTGAGTCTCTTATGATTGTAAAATATTATTTCCCTTTTTTCTTGAATATTTATTATGAAAATAACTAATTAATTACCTGATTTTGAATCATAATTTCAACACTAGGAAGCAATTGCTGTTGGCAGATCCTTTGCTTCAATTAAAGGATACCACCTAGATGGAAATAAGGAAATGGTTGCCTTTGGCTTCATGAACATTGTAGGATCCTTTACATCTTGCTATGTGGCCACTGGTAAATTAAAGCTTCTTTGTTATTTCAATTTCAAATTGATTTCTCAGAAATATCATTTTTTTATGGGTCTTGCATCCTCATTTCGATCAGAGCCAGCCCCTTCTTTTATAAATCTGCATTTAGCATCTTGTACCTTAATTAATCATCCTAATATATAGCTTAGACTTAAGCAATTTATAATTTTGAGTCTTATATAGTTGAGTAACGTCGACCTGTTTCCACATGACCTGATATTGTTTTCTTTAGATCTAATAGATACAATTTTGCTATTGGAATCACCCAAAAAAGACCTTATACTATATATGTAATATCTCCACCCACCTTCTCGTGTAGAGCTTAGAGAATTACAATCATCATGTTTGAGGGGGGAACAGTTCCCCAATAAAAAGAGCTAAGTAAGAGATAAGTCTGAATTCTCACTAAATAAAGTGGGTAAAGACAATACGTGAAAAACAAAATTTTCCAATCCCTGCTAGAGGAGATGGGTAGTGGATATTACATATATGCATATATTATTAGCCGAATGACTTCTCCAATAAGACGATGGATGTAGAATTCAAAAGCTCTACCTTCACCTCATACATCTTGACCATTCTATATAATTACACCTCCAGATTGTTAAATTTGGAGCTAGTGTCACATCTAGTAACTCTTTTAACCATATTGTGCTGCAATAACTCTTTTAAACTAATCTTCAGGTTCATTCTCACGCACTGCTGTAAACTTCAGTGCTGGATGTGAAACTGCAGTGTCAAATATAGTGATGGCCATCACAGTGCTCATATCATTAGAATTGTTCACAAGGCTCTTGTATTACACCCCAATTGCAATCCTTGCTTCAATTATTCTTTCAGCTCTTCCTGGCCTCATTGACCTTAATGAAGTTCACAATATTTGGAAAGTTGACAAACTAGACTTCCTTGCCTGCATTGGAGCCTTCTTTGGTGTATTGTTTGGATCAGTGGAGATCGGTCTTTCTGTCGCGGTAAGTACACATTTTTTTTTATCCCCCGTGTTTTTGCAAGTATTGAAGAACACATTTATTCAGACCAATCATCGAGCCTCTGAAAAGAAATTTATCTACCCACTTAACCTATCCTTCTAGATGAACTGTTTTGATTCTTTAATACGTGTTTCGACAAATATATCTATCAATTCTGATTCTTTTTTACTGGATGTATCAATCAATGGATCTATGTCTCTACAACAAAAGAAAATGGCTCATAATGGGTGGTTCCATCTTATCTAAAATGCTTCAACTGTTGTGGTGGAAAATACTTTCAATTTAAACTTTGAATATATGAATTGGGTAAACTGTGCATGATGGAGTCCAAGCTTGTAAACAGTTTAATCATTTTTCATGGCACTTATAGTTCTATATACCCCACCAAAAATTATGGCAACACAACTTGTCTAATGCCAATAAAGTAAAAAATAAATAATAGGTTCTTTGTTTATATCATTTGAGAATCTTTGGACTAACATTTTCAGATACTAAACAGGATCCTTAATTGTTAATTTATTCATTAATTTAGACCTGAATAGGTGAAATAATATTGGAGTTTGTTAAGGGAGAAAGATGCTAATAAAAATGAGCTAGTCTGCTGCAGGTAACAATATCATTTGCGAAGATAATTCTGATCTCAATTCAACCAGGCATAGAAAAGCTTGGAAGACTTCCTGGAACCGATTTGTTTCGCGATGTCAAGCAATATCCTATCGCAGTCAGGACTCCTGGAATCCTCATAATCCAAGTCAAATCTGCCTTACTTTGTTTTGCAAATGCCAATTTTGTTAAAGAAAGGTATATATATATTTCAGCCTAAATATAATTATTTAATTAGTTAAAGCTCCCATATACTAAAAAGATGAAGAATATAGTTCTCTTCTTATTGTCAATTTTAAAGGATTATAAGAAGGATAACAGAAGAGAAAGATCATGAAGACAGCGAAGAAAAGTCACAGAGGACTATTCAACTTGTGCTTCTTGACATGTCAAGTAAGTGTTATATCTCTCAAATGGTACACATTATTATTTGTTTCCAATTTGTTTGAATTTCCAATGTGGATAAGGATATTTTTCTTCGAAACTTAGAGATACACAAACTAAAAATGCAAGCATATACCTCCCTCTAACTTCTCTATCGAGGCCAATTAGATTACAATAGATCAACGATTTAGAATCTGTATTACAAATTTCGTATCAAAAATTCGTTTAACAATAACTTGATCTTTTCTTTTACGTGATAGACTTAATAAACATTGATACATCTGGAATTGCTTCTCTAGAGGAATTGAATAAGAATCTTGAAGCAAATGGAATGAAGGTAATAAAGTGTTGATACTACTTTTAATTAATTGACATTAATAATCCATTTTCAGTTGGAATTTCTTACACTGAGTTTCATCATCTTTAGTTAGCCATTGCCAACCCCAAATGGCAAGTGATTCACAGGCTAAGGCTTGCCAACTTTGTGGATAACATTGGAGGAAAGGTCTTCTTGAGTATTGCAGAGGCAATGGATTCAAATCTTAGTGCTAATATGGCCACCATTTGAAAGCTTTCTCTTGACTCTATTTAATAAGTGGATTGTTAATTTGCTGCTTATTTGTGTTTTGTTGTTTATTATTTACTATTCATGTCACTTGCTATTTGTGTAAAAAAACATAGTGGAGACTGGAGGATGTCAAATATTTAAATAAATTGTGGGTTATTAAGTTGAAAGTGATTTGTGTTAAATCATTTGTTTCTAAAACTGCATAACGAATCTTATGTATTTTCCCAATTTATGGGGTAGATGCATGCCCCACTAAGCCCAATAAAGCTTTGTCAACTCAAAAAGTTATTTACTTTTTAACATCTACCTAAAAGGGAACTTAGATCATTTTTCAATTTGAGTTCCCCCTCAACTTCAAAGAATTTTAAAAAATTAATCTTTTATATTCATATATAGTCAAGATCTATAAGAAGATGAGAGTCATATATCAACACAAAGATAAATATATCATATTATTATATTCAAATAATATGCATATTCGTCTAATAAAATAACATTATATATGTATTTATCTTAAAAAACTATCGATGATAATATACTGATATTAGTTTTAAAACTAAATTAGTTATATTATTCTAAAAGATAATATATCCCCATGTAAACTATTAGATCATAATCATCATAGGTGCTTCAATATAACTAAGATTTTTAGATGTATTACTTAAGAAGTTCTAAATTCGATTCATCTGGGTTGCTAATAGGGGTAATTACATAGGGATTTACCCAACTGTCAACTTCAGAACCTTATGGGATTAGTTGAGATGCGCGTACTCTGACTCGGACACCCCGTCACCATAGATCATAACCACCATTGGATGCTTCAAAGTTAACTAAAATTTTTGATGTATTACTTAAAAGATTCTAAATTCGATTCATCTAGGTAATTATGGGGGATTTACCCAACTGTCAACTTCAGAACCTTATAGGATTAATTGAGATACGCGTAAGCTGACTCGGACACCCTCACCAAATCGTATCAGATATAATGTTACCACTAATTGTAAACTTACCCTTTCAAGAAGATTATACTTTCAGATATATATTATGATTAATTTATGATGGTGCACATACTTTCTAGACAAGCCTTAACTTTCGGAAATTTTTGGAGGACAAGATTGACTAAATCTAGATCCAAAGCTTTTGAAAATATTCTTGTAAAACATACTAATTAATACCTCATCAAACACTAATTAATAACATCATCAAACACTAACCTGAAATCCAATCGATGAAGGCCAATTAACTGTAGATGAAAATGAGAGCAATGAATTAAGATGGACAGAAGTCATCAAGCACTTCATTAAAGTCATATCAAGAAAAAACAAATTATGCACTAGCTTTAACATTAATCTGAAAAGGAAATACATACATGCCCTTCTTGGTCCTTAAAAATTCCTGCGATCAACCTCAATTTGAACTCCACTTCAAACAAACATCAAGCTCCTTTTGGTTCAAAATTTGGGGTTTTGGAAAAGTTTTTTGAAAAAAGTTAAAAAAAGTTAATTGGGCGGGTATTACGATGTAGAATTTATAAATTAATAAATACCCTTTATGTTTGTTTTTTTACAAAATACCCCCTATAATAAAACATAAAAGTTAACAAAAATACCCCTAACCCACCCTCAAACACCCCAGCCGGCGACCACCACCGGAGGTGGCCGGAGTCGCCTTATCGCATGACCGGTTGGATCTTGCCGTCATGCGTCGCTATGGCCTTTTCCGGCCAGATCCACGGTGATCTGGCCGGAAAAGGCCAGATCTATGGTCAATCTGGCCGTCAACAGCAGATCTAGCCGTATTTGCTCTCAACGACAGCCAACAAACGGCGTCGTTGATGGTCAACGACGACCGTTTGGTTGCCGTCGGGACCGTGTTACGCCAATCTTTGGCCTTAGATCTGGCCTTTTCCGGCCAGATCCACCGTGGCCTCTGGCCGGAAAAGGCTAGATCGGCGCACTACCGGCCAGATTCAGCCGGAAGGGTGGATCTGGCCGGAAAAGGCCAGATCGGCGCACTACCGGCCAGATTCAGCCGGTAGTGCGCCATCCTACCAGATTCCGGCCATTTTCCGGTAGTGGTGGCCGGAATCTGGTAAATATGGATTGTTGGGGTGTTTTTGTAATTTTAAAAAAAATATTTAGGGGTATTTAATTAAATTAACAAATTTAGAGGGTTTAAAAAAAATTAAATAATATTGAAAATAGTATTCCCAAAAATGAGAGATTTTGGGTATTTTACTGTTTAACTTTTTTGAGAATACCAAGAGTAGTATTCCCAATCTTGAACCAAACGGAGCCCAATTCTTTTGTCATATCCCGGGTTTAATCAAATAGTATTATCCACTTTCAGAGCATGCCGGCACTGATTCGTATTTGGACTTCATGCAAGTGTCTTTTACCTAGAACACATCCGGCTAGTTACGAGGACTCTAAGTCTTATAAATCGAATCCCAAAGTCATTCGTTAGCGATGTGGAATGTGACAATTTTTGTGTTAAATAATTGACACATTTTGCTCACAAATAAGTACTGTGAATCCAACAATGGCAAAAAGTGCTTGATTTATTAAATCCTGATAGTGGGGTGATGTTATTTCTCTTGACTCCATGACTCCATGAGGTCCATAGAGTTAAAAGTATGATTCTTCAAGCTTAGTGGCTTGGAACCTTCCTTGAATAAAAACTATATATAAGTTGCTTCACTGACAGTTAGAGAATTCAAGTACACAATCAATAAACTTAGAGAACAATTCTCCACATTCCGACTCTTTTGTGAGTCGTTTCTTTTTTAGTTGTGATTATTTTATTGTAAAAAATCCCTGAGCCATTGAATTTCCTTTTCCAGGGATTTGTACAAAAAGGCACTGGAATGGTTCATGCCAAAACCTGGCATTAAGCATTTTGGCATGAACAATTCTGCTAATAGCTATAGCCCTGGTCCAGAAATTCCCTTGAGAGAGCAAGAGCTCTCCAAGTTCTCCCAAACACTTCAAGATCTCATGGCTGCTTCTGCAGTTGAAAGCTCCACCGAGCAGGAAATGCTCGACCTGGAGAAACAAGGCCTGGCAGATAGGACTCAGTGGCTGCTCAATCCTCCTGAACCACCAGGTTTACTCAGAGCTTTCAAGGAAACTGTTTCTCCTTTTGGAAACAAACTGCAATCTCTCAACAGGCAGTCAAGGCCAAAGCGTGTCGTCTCGGTGTTGCAGGAAGTGTTTCCTATTGTCTCCTGGTGTCAGGACTACAAGGCAAAAAAATTTAAGAATGATTTATTGGCAGGTCTCACTCTTGCCAGTCTCTGCATTCCTCAGGTAAACAGAAAAATTAACTTGAAATTACATGATGATTAGCATTAAATTAAGAACTATCATGACTAACAAACATTGTTATGTTCATTCAGAGTATAGGATATGCAACTTTGGCAAAGCTTGCTCCTCAATATGGCCTCTGTAAGTACCCTGAAATTTTTTTTTTTCTTTTTTTCTTTTTTTTTTTTTTTTTGTAGAAGCCTTGAGTAAAAGTTGAGTGGATGATTTTGTTTATTTTTCTCAGATACAAGTGTTGTGCCACCTCTCATTTATGCTGTAATGGGGACTTCAAGAGAGATAGCAATTGGACCAGTAGCTGTAATTTCACTGCTTTTATCCTCAATGGTACAGAAACTAGAAGATCCTGTGGCTAATCCAATTGCATACACAAACCTTGTTCTCACTGCAACCTTCTTCGCTGGCATGTTCCAGGCTGCCTTTGGACTTTTCAGGTGAGCTTCTTTTAGTTATTTTGTTTTTTTTTCAAATTCACCAAAATTGATGTATAATCAATCCTTGCTTTTACACTAAAGGTCAGGTTTTCTTGTGGATTTTCTATCACATGCTGCCATAGTTGGGTTCATGGCTGGTGCAGCCATAGTCATTGGTCTTCAGCAACTAAAAGGACTACTTGGAATCTCTCACTTCACAAACAAAACTGATGTTATTTCTGTCATGGAAGCTGTGTGGAAATCACTTGATCATCATCATGTAAGATACAAGCAAGCCAATTTCATCAAATTAATTTCCACATTAAATCAAATTTGATATTTTCATTTATCAATTCCTTTTATTCTTTGATCATCACAGTGGAATCCTCATGATTGTATTCTTGGTTGTTCATTCTTGATTTTCATCCTGACTACTAGATTCCTGGTAAGCTCCATTACTAAATCATTTAGAACTAACTTTATTGCTAATTATTTGTAATTTTTTTAACCATTTCTAGATCAATTTATAATATAATCAGGGTAAAAGGAACAGGAAGCTCTTTTGGTTGCCAGCTATTGCTCCTTTAATATCAGTTGTTTTATCAACTGTTATTGTGATTATAACAAAAGCTGATAAACATGGAGTAAAAACAGTAAAGCACATCAAAGGAGGCTTAAATCCAAGCTCAGTTCATCAGTTGCAATTCAACAGTCCACATGTTGGAGAAGTGGCTAAAATTGGACTAATAGTTGCCATTGTTGCTCTCACAGTAAGTTTCCAAGACTAATCATTCAAGCCTCTCTTTCATCTTCCTTAATTTCAACTGTGTTTTTATGTACAATTACAGGAAGCAGTAGCCGTCGGCCGATCTTTTGCATCCTCCAAGGGCTACCATCTTGATGGAAACAAAGAAATGGTTGCCATGGGGTTCATGAACCTTGTGGGATCTTTCACCTCTTGCTATGTTGCAACTGGTAAGTCTAAACAAAATCTCTCTGACAGCACGATAAGTACTAGTTGACCTAAAAGCTTAAATTAGTAACTATACATCAATTATTCTATGATCGAAGAACTAAGTAGTAAGTACATTATATGCAGGTTCATTCTCGCGGAGTGCTGTCAATTTCAGTGCCGGTTGTGAAACAGCTGTGTCAAATATTGTGATGGCGATCACCGTTTTCATTTCCCTGGAATTTTTCACAAAGCTCTTGTATTACACACCAGTAGCAATTCTTGCTTCAATTATTCTTTCAGCTCTTCCTGGACTCATTGACTTCAGTGAAGCTTTCAGGATTTGGAAGGTTGATAAACTAGACTTTCTTGCCTGCATCGGCGCCTTGCTTGGAGTTGTGTTTGGATCTGCTGAGATCGGTCTTCTTGTCGCTGTAACTTCTAACTCTATATATCTA